TAAAACCTCCAGACCAGAGCGCTGTACAGAGAGATACATTAAATATAAAATCACACAGCTCAGCTCACAAAACATAACAATATAAAATCACATAAAAGGAACACAAAACAAACCAGAATAAACGTAACAATTACAAAATAAAAATAAAAACAGCCATAGGCTATAGTAAAAACAATAGATCACTGAAGGCAAACAAAAGCAACAATCTACTTGGTTTTGAATACTAAGGAGAAGAGGTGGGTTTTAAAACGGGATTTAAAAACAGACAGTGTGGGAGCCTGTCTGATTTGCAACGGGAGGTCGTTCCACAGTTTGGGGCGGCAGCAGAGAAAGCATGGTCCCCTCTGAGCTTTGACTTTGTGTTGGGCACCCTCAGTTTTAAAATGAATCCTCAAATGAATAGGCAGCCAGTGGAGTGAAGATAAAATGAGGGAAATGTGCTGGTGTTTGAGAGTGCCAGGCGAGCAAGTTATCCCCATAGTGCATTACAGTAATCCAAGCGGGAGGTGACGAAGGCATGGATTACCGTTTCAAAAAGGTCACTATATGGTTGGGTGGCTCACTAACAGCAACTCCTTACCAACATACAGATGGTGTTCTATTAGCAGCCTCTGCTGGTCATGTTGAGTCAGTTCATGCAGTACATTTTATTCTCGAATTTTTGAATGATTGTCCAAAAATGGAAATTCTACAGAAACAAAGGATATTTCCATCTACCTGGCTGGAACACAGATTACAGACATTATTAAATGATGTGTTAAACAAATTAAATTGGTAACTCTTAACAGAAATTCAGTTTATTGCTTCTGGTTTTCAATTATCAAATATTGCTGTCAGAAATGGGGCATTGTACTTATTTTAAGCTTGTACAAATGACATAAATCATTCTATTTAACGTGTTGTGCATTTGTCATCCTCAGTGACTCACATGATAATTGGAAATACACATCTACGTGACGTCCCAGGACAAACTGTCTGTCCCCACTGCCAGCAGTCAGTGATCACCATGATAGAGCACACAGCAGGCATGAGGGCCTGGAGTCTCTGTATGATGTTCTTCTTCCTTGGGTAAAAACAACGTTTTTGGTAGAAATAGCCTATCTAGTTTCTGACAGTGTCTGAAATACACCAGAAAATCCTCCTTTAAGAGCGGTTGTTAATTGGAGAGTTACTATTGACGTTGTTTCCTCCTACAGGTGTATTCCTTGCGGTTTTATACCATTCTGCGTTGATTCCTGCAAAGATGTGGAGCACCGTTGTTCTTCCTGCCAAAGAGTCCTCTACGTATACAAGCCATCGGAAAACTAACTGTGATTAAGGAAGACGAAAAGAAGATCTCACTTCTTATTTGCAGCTTTACTTGCTCTTTGATAATTTTTAAACTGATCAAAATGATACCGTAAAATACATTTATCCTATGCTGACATTGTCCTAGTCATTTTGCTACTTTTTCACATTTCAATGCCAATGACATAAGCCTCACACTGCAGGGAGTCATATTAAGCAGTGAGTGGTGAACTTGTAATTCAATAAAAGATTGTTACATGATGCTATTATTATATTATTTCATAATACAAACACAAACAATTATGTTGATGAAAGATATACAAAATAACTGGTTCTTCTGTAGTTATGAGTCTCTGTAAAACCAAGACAACAAGATTCACCACTGATAAGAGAAAACACTGTGCTTTTTAGTGGTAGTTTTAATTTTGTATTCACCAATAGTTCTTACACATGTGGTCGACACGGATATACTCACAAAAGAAACAGTAAAGATAAACAAAACATAAAAGGGTACACATTTGTGAGTGTAGAGAGGGTAGACTCTGTTTGGATAACTGCAGTCTTTACAGGATGGTTTGACCTGCAGTCTTTACAGGATGGTTTGACCTGCAGTCTTTACAGGATGGTTTGGTGAAATACATGTAATTCTTATTCTATTGTTGTTCTATTTTGGCATTGCCTCCGGTTTCGGAGAAATCATGTTTTGTTAAATTCTTCAAGGTAATTTTTTTGGAAGACTGTTGTTCCTTTGATATGTGTTTTGCTAAGAGGCTCCTAGCCATTGTGGTTTGCTGATCTTTTTCTAACGTTTACTGTTTAGTGATATTGAATTATTGGCGATAGTGAGGGCCTGAAATTGAGCTTGTGTCAAGTTTCTCTAAATTGGCCGAGTATGTACACAGAGGGGGAGTGCAACAAAATAATTTCGTAATTTGGGATTAATTAACTGTCTGTCTGTCTGTCTGTTCTACCTCACCCCTCACTCTTATGATAATTTGCCCTTTTAGTAAGGTGAAATGTTGTAAAACAGTATGAGAGAGAATATTTACGACAAGTCAGTCGGGAGCATGTGTCTGAAGACTGAGAGTCTTACAGTTTTACTTCGGCTCTAAGTAAATATTAACTTCAAATGTGGCACTGTACATTGGGACAATCGATTCGTTAATGGTTAGATGTTATCAAGTGACTTTTTTATTGAGTTAAGTGACTCCATAAAATGTGGCACACAGGAACAGATAGCAGAAAACCTGACAGTCATGACAAAGTTTTACAAACATGAACTACTGATTAACCCTGTTCGTAAAGCTTACTTCTGCTAAGCAGACACTCTGATCAAAACGCTCAATAATTTGTGCCGCATCTTCTTATGCTGTCATTATAGTCACTGGAATACTTTAGCTGTTAGCAGCTGCTGTTTAACCTATGTTTTGAAAATCAAACTTATCTGACAATCTATTCACTTTTTTTGTATGTGTGTTAAAACTAATTTTTTTTCTGAAAAACAATATTCTGCAGCTGGTGGGAACATTTCACATTTACATTTTAAGGTCTGTGAAGTGTCCCGTTGGAATGCAGGTTAGAAAGGTAAATAAAAAGACAGATTCACATCTTGGACCCTCTGCTGTGCTCACCATCTGCCACCATAATGCCCAGCAGCAGCCATTTACATGGCACCACGAGGCATAAAGTATAATCTGATCTAAGGTTCAAGGTTCAAGGTTAGTTTATTTGTATAGCACATTTTAAGACACAGAGGCGATTCAAAGTGAATAGGCATTCAACATATAATAATTAAAAACAAAACAAACATACAATCAAAAACAAACAACAAAAAGAAAATTAATAAAAGCGATAAAATACTAGCTGCAACTAAAAGTGCAATGATAAGGCACGGTGAGAGGATCTCAGGATAGGCTGCTTTAAAAATAAATATTTTTAACTTTGATTTAAAAGAACCCAGTGTTGGGGCGGACCTCAGAATTGTAGGCAGTTTGTTCCAAGTGCATAAAAACTAAAAGCCGCCTCTGCAAATGTTGTTCTCATTCTGGGGACGACGAGTAAACCTGCTCCTGTTGATCTGAGAGCTCTGGCTGGCTCGTAACAGTAAAGCATCTCTAGTATGTATTCTGGTCCCATCCATTTAGTGCTTTGTATGTTGAAAGTACGATTTTGAAGTGTATCCTTTGTGTAATAGGAAGTCAGTGCAGATTTTTGAGAACTGGGGTGATGTGGTCAATTCTCCTAGTGTTGGTGAGGACTCTGGCAGCAGCGTTCTGGATGAGTTGTAGTTGTCCTATAGATTTTTTACAGAGACCTGTGAAAACACTATTGCAGTAGTCAAGTCTGCTAAAAACAAAGGCATGGACTAGTTTTTCAAGGTTGTGTGTGGTCATATGTGTTTTCAGTCTGCCTATGTTTTCCAGGTGAAAAAAAACTGATTTTGTGATTCCTTTGATGTGTTTTTTGAAATTGAAATTAGAGTCCATAACTACACCAAGGTTTCTGACATTGTCTGATGTTTTCAACAGTATTTTTTCTAACTAAGTTCTGATATTGGCCCTGTCCTTTTTGGCACCAAAAACTTGACTAACCTTAAAAGTTCATAAAATGTAATGACATTAATGTAATTGCAAAGGGTTACATGTCAGCTGCATTGTTATGGTAGGATATGTTGTATTGTTTCAGGATATGAGCAAGTGGGAGCATGTAAATATTGAACAGAGCTGGACCGAGAATCGAACCTTGGGGAACTCCACATGTCATGGGTGTTTTTTGAGATTTGGATACCAAAAACTCTCAAACCAGTGAAGGGCTTTGTCAGATAGTCCATCCCAGTATTCCAATCTGTCCAGTAAAATGTTGTGGTCAACTGTATCGAATGCAGCACAGAGCAATATTAGGACTGATATTTTGCCATTGTCAGTGTTCAAGTAAATGTCATTCAGAACTTTAGTAAGAGTAGTCTCAGTGCTGTGATGTGGCCGAAATCCAGATTGGAATGTATCATAACAGTTATTCAGTGCAAGGAAGGTGTTGAGCTGATGAAAAACAGCTTTATCAATGATTTTTCCCAAAAAGGGGAGGTTTGAAATTGGCCTGTAGTTCTGCATGATTGAAGTGTCCAAATTGTTCCTTTTCAGGAGAGGCTTGATTACTGCTGTTTTTAGTGATTTGGGGAAATTGCCTGAGATAAGGGATGTGTTAAGCAACAATGAACTTTACTTAAAGGGATAGTGGAAATGGAACCTCAAATAGTTTCGTTTTAACTTATATACAAGCATAATTACGTACCAAAACAATCACACCTGATTAAAAAAATATAATAATTGCCTTACGCATGTTAGAAGCACTTTATTGCAGCTTCCCCGAAGTTTTTTAGAAACGAAATGTTCGACTCAGCCAAACCGGAAGTGACGAAAACTCAGGAAGACGATACGATAACAAACCATGGCGTCTATGCAGAATGAACGTGGAAGGGCAAATATACCAGACAAAGAAGAAGGATTGTACGAGGTATCCAGTGATGATAGCGAGTCAGAAACATCCTCTCGGCTTTCCTACGAAAATGTCGTTTTAGGAACTGAATCTGAATCCGGTTCAGTAAGCGACGATGGTGACAATATTGAGCCAGACGATGGACCATTACGTCCTTATTTGTTCGAGCCCGAGCCCGAGGTGATGGTTCACGGCATGGGCAATGGCGAGGATGACCAGGACCAGGCGCCAGATGATGCACCCCTACGTACAAATAATCTTGACTGGTAGGTCCCTAAGCATAGCTCACGCATCTTAAGATCACCTGTAGCCTTTACAAATATTAATCATTGTTAACCAGTTAAGCCCGAAGGTCCCCACAGTTTTTTTTCTCTCACATGTCTCAGGGCTTCTTAACATTTATGAAACTATTAATGTTTCATACCCTTTTAAAGGTAAGAAACTCCGCTAACTGACAATAAGAACAATTGTTAGCTAGAAAAAACACAAGAGTAATACCAAGCCTTTGAATTAGCATTGAGCGAAACAATGCTAACTAATGCTAACGCTTTTTTACACACAACACACGGTAGAAATGCCCTTATTACTATCTTAACTGCACAAACAAGATATACGATTTAAAGCTGAGACTCCACAGATTCCACACATGTAATGTCATCACTGTAAGACCTCGAATTCCTATAGCTATCAGCCAGAAAAGAGAAAGTAAACAACATCCGGTTCCAAAAATATTACAATAATTACGTCTTACCTTTTTTGATTTGTGATCAAAAGTTGTGTTCAACGGAATAAAAACGCATCTCAAGGTTAATCCAATGTCGTTGTGTCACGTAGAATTTTGTACTGATAATCAATCATCATATTTATGGCAATATACTCGGCTATTCACATGCAAATGCTATTGAATGTCCGCCATTGTTTGTGCCCGTCTTCCTATGCTCTCGTCATCACCCGAAGATTCCCGACGATTCCCGAAGTATTTCGTTTCATTGAGAGGGCGCAGTAAAATTGAAAATAAAATGAAACTAGGCGCATGAAATTAAAAAAAATTGTTTATTATGCTTATTTTTTATAAAAATACATAAGTTAAACCCAAAATTCGCGGATTTCCACTATCCCTTTAATGAGGTCAGTGAGCATTATGTTGTATATTGATAAAAGGCCATTTCTTTTAAACCACATGATTTCCTATAACCTGGAAAGAAAGTGAAAGCAAGCGGTTAACATATAAAACAGACTTTTTCTTGAAGTTGAAAGGCATTCGGGCGAGAGGCACATAAGTGGAGGTAAGGACTTTTTATATTTTTTAACAAATAAGTACTTTTTCTTTATTATTTCTTTTGGTAAAGTTATTGTTATTATTATAATAAATAAATAATACACATATACATACACCCAGAGATGGGGACTCGAGTTTGTGACTCGGACTCGAGTCGCACTTAAGTCGCACACACAGAGACTTCAGACTTGACTTGGACTCCTGCTCAAAAGACTTCAGACTCGACTTGGACTCGTGTTTTGGGACTCGTGAACAATCATTGTGTTTTCTATTTTTGGCGTATTAAAGGTGGGGTAGGTAATTTTGAGAAACCGGCTCGAGATCGCTAGAATTTGAAAATACACAACCGGAGAAAATCTGCCACTTCCTTACAGAGCCCCTCCTCCAACACACACGACCAATGAGGGCACGATATAAGTTTGTGCCCCGATGGAAGGCTGACAGGCAGGTAGGCCATCCAGTTATTATAACCGGGCCGGCTAAAATAATTGGTCGTGCTTTTTACAGTATTACGGCTTCCACAGATGACATTTTTTTATGGATTTTTTGTCAAAGCACTTATGGACGGTTAGCAAACATGTTTAGCTCAGCATCAGCTATGTAATGTTAACTTAGCTTGCTACTAGCTTTGTAACTGCAGTGTTTCCCACATATATGAAATATACTTGGGCGGGTGGTGGCAAGGAGGGGGGGGGGGGGGGGCGCGAAAAAAAAAAAAGTTTTAACAACATTATTTATTGACTTTTCATTCCGGTATAATCATTTTGCGCAAAGATGGCACTGTTTGTCAGAGCACTTCATCCTTCTGGGATTTCATGAGCTCCAACGCCTGTGTGTATGGGAACGCCTCTGGTGCTGGTCCATTAACTGCCAGTGTTTCCCACAGATCCAGTGTGAGAAAAAGTGTTTAGAGAGTACTTGTCCATGGACAAGTGAGTTTGGCAATTTACTTGTCCGAATACATTTTTCACTTGTCCAGAATGGACAAAAATTGGGGCCACTGGAATCTTCTTCTTCGTCATCGTATTTTACATTTTCCCACGGTTTTTACGACACCGCTAACGTAAGTGAGCGGTGAGATTTTACTGCATCACACAAAGGGTTGGGTATCGTTTGGATTTTAACGATTCCGGTTCTGCTTTTCGATTCCGGTTATTTTTGGTTCTCGATTCCGGTTCTTTGAGAGGGTAAAAATAAGTCAAACTGGGAGAAAAATATATTTATGAAAACATTAAGTCAAATCTGTATTCCTATTTACAAATCACTTCATACTGTTTAATCTCTTACAGTTATTGAATACAATTATATAAAAATATATATAGTTCTAAGTGGTGCAGTTTGAGAATGTACAATTAGCCCAGTCTCCTCTGATGTTACACTGCAACCTGCCTGTGAGACAGAGTCCAACCACACATGTCCAACACATAGGACATAACCTAATAATAATAATAATACATTAGATGTATAGCCTATAGGCCTAGCGCTTTTCTACAACTCAAAGACGCTTGCACGCTTACACATGTCCTGCAATACACATGCTGCAGCTGCCCAGCTGCTCACTGTTTGTAAAAGTAAATAAATAGTATTTTCATTTCAATAATGTACTTTCTATACCCTGCTTCATAAACAATACTGACATCCCTGCTCCTCCGAGTCTGGGGGTCCGGGGATGTGAGGACAGCGCGAGGACACAGACAGGGAGGCTGCTTCACTTCATAAAGGAAATGGTGGTCAATAGTAACAACATAGGAGCTAAAACGCTTAATAACCTTCATTACGTGTTAGAGAAAGAACATAAGAAACAGGCAGCGGATCCGCTGTGTGTAGAAAGAGAGAGAGAGAGAGAGAGAGAGAGAGAGAGAGAGAGAGAGAGAGAGAGAGAGAGAGAGAGAGAGAGAGAGAGAGAGAGAGAGAGAGAGAGAGAGAGAGATAGAGAGAGAGAGAGAGAGAGAGAGAGAGAGAGATGCACCGTGCAGCGATCAGCTGATACGGAGCATAGAGAGAGAGAGCTGCGGTCCGCGGGGCTCGGCCTCGCCTCCTGTCCTCACAACTCTTATTAATCCCGGTACCGGACAATTGTTATTTGTTCCTACTCGGAACCGAGTTTTGCTTCCCAACCCGGCCACTGTGCTAACACGTCCCACCCCCGCTCCCCGTCTAACTGTACAGAAAGCGGCGAGATGCATTTCCTTATGAATCGACAAGCAGAACCGAAACTAACATTTATAAACGAACAATGGCGGACACGTACAATTTGCGAAAGAGTTCTGCCTTTTGTAAACGGAATGTATCAATAATTTGTCAATAAATGAGGGCGAAAACCGTCACTTGTCCGCCGGACAAGTCAATTGAATGATCTACTTGTCCGATATTGTAAATAGCACGTCCCGGACGGTGGGACGTGTACTTTTTCGCACACTGAGATCTGAAATATACTTTGGGGGGTGGTGGTAGCGGGGGGGGGTTGAGGTGACGTGCAACAACATTAACCTTTCTGTTGGTCGCTTGTTAGCAGACCCTTCACGCGATGGCAGAGCGAACAGGTACAGGTACAGGCAGGGCCCATAATGATAGCCCTATAGTTTAAATCTACTACCCACACATGAACATATGGAAATGGGCTACTATTTAAAAAAATAAATGTATTTAGGAACCTATCCATGTGATTTTTAGTGGGGGTCGACCTCAAATCCTCTAGGGGGGTCCAGGGGCATGCCCCCCCTGTAAGATTTTATTTTTTATTTTGGAGTTAAATGCATCAATCTGGTGCATTTTGAGGGGAAAATAAAGAGACTAGATCTATGGAAACACCTATATTTAACAGAACTGTATACATTTCAATAATCATAAAATCAAGGCCATAACCAATAACATACCATTTCCAATATGAAAAAAACACTGAAACTTGTTAATTTATTTTTGGTTCATTTATAGTTGTGAGTGTGTCTGAGCTCCTGAATCAGCCTCTCCTGTCTCCCTCCTCTCCCCCCTCTCCCTCCTCTCCCCCTGCTCCTCTTTGAGGCAGCAGCAAAGACTAGTTTTCTCTCAACAAGTTTTAAAAGTGTATCTTACCTTTTTTCACCTAGTTAACTTTTTATTTATTTATTCATGCATATTTTACTAATCACATTACATTTCATTTAGCTGACGCTTTTATCCAAAGTGACTTCTAATGACCGATTACAGGGACATTCTCCCTGGAGTAACTAAGGGCTAAGTGCCTTACTCAAGGGCACACTAGTGGTGGTGTTCCTGGCGCGATTTGAACTCACAGCCTTCCGATCTTCAGCCCACCTCACTATCCATTAGACCAATCACTACCCTCTCTAATGGAAATATGTGTTTACATAAATGGTGACCACACCGTTTGAGACCCACTGAGAACTTAGACTAAGTTAACTATCTAAACACTCAGAGAGTCCTTTACCTCACCTGAGCTGAGGTGATCCCGAGCTTGAATGACTCACAGAGACCAATCAAGGGCTTTGATTTATGATCTGTATGACAGTGGCCATGTTGGCAGGCCACATCATGTGGACAGCCAGTCACCCTGTGTGAGGCAGGCCACTTAACAGGCCAGAAGGAGGCGAGATCAGAGCAAGGGAGCGAGGGATCATTGTCTACAAGTTAATCGATCGCAGATGGCGTCGTGGTCACGGACGAATAAAAAAAAAAAAACATTAAAAAAAACATTTATAAAAAAAAAAAAAAAAAACTAAATGGGTCGCGAAATATACTTGGGCGGCCGTTAATATACCTGGGCGGCCCGCCCAAGTATAGTCTATGTGTGGGAAACCCTGAACTGAATATTTGAAAAGATGAGTGAATGTTTGCTTGTCACACTTGTTTGCGTTGAGTGGCGTTGACATCCAACTCTTGACATGACATAAAAAAGGTCGGTAACGTTAATCATTACGTTCCGCTGCCACCATCTACTGGCTAACGTTAAACGTAGAAAAATACATAGTTACATACATAAATACATCT